CCCCCAGCCAGCCCTTTTTCCTTTGAGTTAACTTGCCTGCCCTGGGTCCAGTGTGGCTGAGGTGGTCACTTTGGGGCTGGATAGGAATTTTGGGTCCATCTCACCTGATTGGCATATAAAAGGTTGGCAGACATATTTTTGCCTATCCCACACTGTTTACCCATGGGATTCTGAGGACTATTCTAGGTTTGAGTTACGTTTAAATAGGTCAAACTGTGAGGTAGTGCGGAAGAGGTGAGTTTCAGTGAGCTCCCAAAAAGCACATGGGGTCCTACTGCACCCAGCATCACAGCAACCAGGATCTAGTGTTTCACTTGCTGGGACGAGGGGTGAATCAGGTATAGTCCCATCCATTGCATGTCTTAGTTCTAGACAATTGGATGAATGGCAGATAGGGAGGTTTTTCTTCCCAGTCTCTGGCCAGCTGGTTACGAGCTGTTCAGGGGACAGTTCTGACCAGGGGCTTGAGACTCGCCCGCTTAGGATTGGAGAGGGGGTAACAGATACCCCTACAGCCTTCCCCAGGGATCCACATGACGTCCAGGCCCCTCTGCAGGATGAGAGTGATTGGAAGTTAAAAGCAATAAAGTGTGGCCCTAGTTAACTCCAACACCTGTCTCCGTCTCTTTATTTCAGGAGTGGGTGGGCAGAGATTAAATAAAAGTGGTGGAGCAAAACATTGAATATTAATTTCATGAACTTTAAAATATCATGTGAATAAATCTACAGTGTTTTGGAAATTCATAGTATTACTGTATATTCCAAAGTGTCAATAGTCAACAAGGGACCACAGTGGAATATTTTAACTACAAAAATTCTCAAATGCTTTCCAGACAGTTTACATATCTCCTCTACATTTTCTCTTTTGCATTCTTTTTCAACAGCTCCACAGTTCATCCCCAAAGCAGTCTTGACTGCCACTAGCAAACTTCCATCTCCCACTCCTCCAAATGAAGGATATCCATCCATCCGTCTTGACGGTCTGTCACTCGTTCCCCCCTCTCTCTGCCTTTCCTTTTTGTTTGTTACTTGTTCCTTGTTGGCTGTGGCTCTTTGGCCCTGGCAGCAAACAAGCAGCAGCAGGAAAGGAAAAGGAAAGGACAGGAAGAGAGTGAACGAGCGACAGACCGTCAAGATGGATGGATGGATGGGTGCAAGCTCTCTGCGGCAGGCTGTGAAAGGAGACGGGGAGGGGAGCGTGCGTGAGAAGGCATCACCCCCTCCCGCGACATGTCTGGGCAGGGAATGGAGGAGTGCAAGGCAGGAGGAAGGAGAAGTGCACATCCAGGTTGCGAGTGGGGCCCCTCCTTCACCTCAGCCACAGAGAGGACGAGGCTACAGCAGCAGCAGCCTCGCCAGGTAACCCGCGAAGAGCGGGGTGGTGGTGCAGAGAGAGACCTAAAAGCAGAAGCCCCGGTGGCGCCAAACCCTTGAGGGAGAAGACTGCCAGGAAGGAAGAGGGCTCCCCTTCTGGACGTGTGGGCGCTTCGGGGGGGAGGCGGGACCCAGACCCTACGAGGCAGGGAGGAAGCCCCACACTCGCCAAGTAGGTGCCGCTACTGCTCCCACTCCAGGTTGGGCTGAAATTAGAAGCCAGGCAGATTTTGAAAGTGGTTGGGCATGTCGCGCTTGCGGGTGGCCATGTTGCGCCCGCAGAGATCCGTGTCCACAGCCCAGTTAAAGGAAGCCCACAAACCAGCGCCAGGCCACGAACCGGGGGTTGACGACCCCTGCCTTAAAGGATATACTGGAAATAATCTGTAAGTACTAATTTTGCCTGAGATAGTTGTCCAAAACTCTATTAGTGGAAATATTTGAGACTAAGAATAATATCATTGTTTCCATATGATGCAATGCCTGAAAAACGTTGTTGTAAACTTGTGAGGTTAGACAAAAACTGAGCAAAGGGAGGCTACAAATCTGACTCAAGTATTACACAGTGCCTAAGCATTCCATCTATGTTGTAAAAATGATTCTATGCTATCACATCATGCTGAACTGCTCTCATTTTAGCCCCTCTACAAATCTTGTAAAAGCAAGATTATTTTAATTACCACATCAGTTCTCAAAAATCTTGGCATAGGGCAGGATATAATTCAAATGAGACAGATCATACAGTATTGTGATTCCCCCCCCCTTACTTACAAAACACACTTCTTAGATTCTATTCTATATTCTGCAGCAAAAGTTGAAATGGTTAAATTCTTTTTGGATAGCAACTCCCAGAATTTCTCAGCCAGCATTGCAAACAGTTTGGGAGGCTGAAGGACCTGGGGAACTATAGTCCCCAAAAAGTAACTTTTCCAAATTCTATTCTTATTAGCTGCTTGGTAGGAAGAACTGTATATATTTAATTGACAAATCTTGGAAAGTATAGATATTCACCTCCTTCCACATCTATTAAGCATCAGTCATGAGTGAAGCAGTGATCTTTACTAAGGAATACAGAACCTTTTAAAATCTAATTTTGATTATATAAAATGCTTCTGAATTGACTACAATTAGAACTTCTTGTACTGTACATATTAAAATTAGCTACTGACTATAGTAAAACTTTCCCTTTTCCTCAGGAGGACACCAATTTATGCATAAAATTTAATATTAATTTTATATTAATATTAATAAATTTAATATAGAATATTTTACCAAGTGGAATACAATTGCAAGGGAAGGGAAAGATAAAAGACAAGCAATTTCCACTAGAAATCAAGATATATATCTCAGACGATAAATTAGAAAGAGTATATTTTTGTCAAGATTCCATGAATTAGTATCTCTATACAGATTTTAACATCAGGATAATTCCCAGTTACAACAATTCATATTGGGCAGCAACAGCTAATATGCAAGGCCCTATATAATTTAAAGCACCTGAACAACAAGTTATAGCTCAGCAGTTTGTTGGCAAGTTTAAACATGTATCTATAAACTATTTCTAAAGTATAACATGTTAGCAAAGCTATGAACTTTTCTCAATATCACAATACAACCCTTTCATGATGTGTGAGTTTACATTATAACAAAGTCATGCGAAACTTTTTCCTCCATGAAAAGGTGGGCAAAGTGTACTTTTCAGAAAGTCTCTCATTTTTAAAAATTTTTACAGAGGTAGAAAAATGTCCCCATATCCTCTAAAGGGTGTTGAGGGGACAATTTCACTACATATTGGAGGCCCTAACTTTTGAAAAAATGTTTCCAGGGGCCTAAAATAAGATATAGTCATAGCAAATTCCCCCCCACATCCTCTAGAAACTGAGGGGGTCAGGGAACACAGAGTTGCACCCCTAAAATCTCCAACACAAAAGTCTCAAACCACTTCTGTCAGTTCAGTCAAGGAGACTGTTGGACAGCAGAGACAGTGATACAAAAGGAGAATCCCCAGTGTGTGCCGACTCCAGGAGCTGATCATGCAGTAAAAACAATTAATATGGGTACTGTTTTTTTCTGTTCCACTAAAATGAACCAGAGCTAATTTTAAAACTTTTTAAATTCCCTTCTGTAGTGTTCACATAGAAAATCTTTCCAGCACACACTAGTTAATCAAGATGCATTCCAAGCAAAAGCATACCATACAACAACAGAAGAACATGACACAAATGTTCATATTTCTGTACTGAAAGAGAGTGCTGAAAACATAGTGCAAACAAGCCATCAATCATGCCCAGGGGCAATACTTTAGAGAGCCTTACCTTCAAAGGAAAAGTTACTTAAATTCTCATCTGTTTAGAGTTTAAAGTTCACTGTCTTTTCCTGTGAGATTTCAATCACTTACAATTTATGTTCCAGACTGCTTCTACCTTTGCACCTGCTGAATATATGTCAAGCTATCTGGTAGTTTCTGAGTATGTGTGGCTGTGTCTAGTTTAACATTATCCTGAATTTTAAAAAAACAGAAAAAAAAACAAGGTCCTTTCATGACCGCATATAAGCTTGTTATATGATGCCAACCTCAGAGCTCCACTGCCTGCTGGGGCAAAAGTAATGAACATGGTTCATGGATCTAGTTCCAAGCAGAGAGTCTCCAACCCGTTTGGTTACTATTGCTTCTGTTCATTAACAAATATAAACCAAACAATGGTTGAAATCTTGTTAGTGTGATAGTAAGTCACACTAAAGCAGGGCCATTGAATCAGTGGAATTTATCAATTCAATTGAGACTGTTCTAGTTGTGACTTTAGCACAATACACTGCAGCTAGAGTAGGCGCATGTGAATCAATGGAATTTAGGGCAGAGTTGATTCACCAAATCCCCACTGATTCCAAGGGCCTACTCTACTACAGTGGTGCCTCGCTTAACAATTTTAATTGGTTCCAAAAAATTCATCGCTAAGCGAAATGTGTTTTCCCATAGAGATGCATTGAAAACCGGATAATCCGTTCCAATGGGATTACCGTCCTTAAGCAAAAATCGCCATAGGAAACATTGCTAAGCGAAACGCAGTTCCCCCATTGGAATGCATTGAAACCTTTTCAATGCATTTCAATGGGGGAGAAAAAAATCACCAAAAATTCAAAAAGAGTCAGAAAAAAGCCAAATTTGGTTAACAAAGGTTTTATTAAGTGCACTAACGATTTCAAGCACTCTAAACCCTTTTAAAACAATTTAACACCTTTTAAAAATAGCGAAAATGGAGCTGGCAAAAACATCGCTCAGCGAAACGGGGGGACCTAAACTGTCATCGCTAAGCGAAGCAAGGTCCTGAACATTGCTATGTGAAATTTCCCCATTGGAAACATCGCTAAACGGAGTGCAAGATTGCTCCAAAAACCTCATCGCTAAGCGAATACATCGTTAAACGAGGCAATCGCTAAGCGAGGCATCACTGTACAATTTATTGCACTAAGCAACAAATTTAGAAAGTAGTTTAGAAAGAAAGTCAAGATACATATTCTCAGAAACATGCACTACAATATTCTGGTAAAGAACAAAAGCCCAAAATTTAGCTTTAGTAAGTACAACTATTTTTAATTTTCTTAGTTTAAAAAGCCTTGATACATACTTTTGGATAATCCAACTCAAAGAAGGTTTCCAAGTTGTTGATAAGGTTTGGATCTACACCCTTTAGGGGCTTCAGGAGTGAAACGCCTGGAAGCTTGCTGTATGGCTGTTTGTCTGTTGCTTTCTTGTTCAGGTGAAGATGCCTGAAAATGAGAAATACAATTTAGAAAATATAAGATCAATGTGATTATTTAAATATTTGTATGAAAGGCCTTTTGATGTAGGGCTACATTAATGTTACATTTCCATCAAGCGAATCTAATGAAAGTTATGAGAACAAAGAAACAATTTTTCACATGCAGATATGATCCAAATGTGAGTTAGAAAACTAATATAGGACGACAAGATAAAATTCAACTATTCTGCAAAATTATGTAACACTCATACGAGGCACAGCCCAGCCCACCCCAGCTATCCTGAGAGATCAAGCAACAAGAACACATCTATGTCTCTTCTTTCAGATGCACCAAGCTAGAAAGCCAATCAGCATAGCAAGTGACTAATGCTTGCCAGATACAACAGCTCAGTAGGAATCAGAGCACTGCCTGAGCAGGCCGTGTTTTGCAAATTAAAACCCTTCTCTGTTTAAAGAAGAATTATAAAGCACTCAATCAACTGAAAGCAAACTTTTTTTTCCATTTAATATGCTGTGAGAAAGGAGACAGGAGGAAGAACCCTCCTGCTGGTGTACTCTTCCCTGGAAAAGTGAAACACCACCTGGAACTCATCCCTCAGAACAAACGGGGGGGGGGGGGGGGAGCAAGAAGAGAAGGAACTTAACAAAGGTCCTATTTTGGAAGAAAATGTGAAAAGGGCAGAGAGGAAGGGGAGGGGGCCAAAAAGAAGAGGAAAAGGTATATAAAGGAGGAATGAAAGGGGGGGCCAGAGGAGGAAGGATGGAGGGAGAGTAAGAAGGAGGAACAAAAGATATTGCCTGAAGAGTGGGAATGGATAACCTTAGAGAATCCCTGGACTGGGGAACAGGAAAAATGATGGTGCCAGCAGAGGAAGCCAAGAGGAGAACATGGTCT